GCCAACCTCATTAGCTGAAAACATTCCTCCTACTGCGGGACAGCATTTATCACACCACATAGCTTCCATTTTAGCGACATCTCTTTTTGAAAGTCATACTTTCAGGACACAGACCAGCAACATTTTAAAAGGATAAATATTGAGTCTGTGGCGGCATTCTTTGCATGTCATAAGCCACATGCCCCGAGGGGAAATAAAAACAGCAGCATTGTGTACAGTCAGCCGCCTCGATACATCACTATTGACGGACTGTCAGATTCTGGGGCAGGTCATGGAATTATATGAGCCATCAAGGGGTCAGAGCGTGTCTACACTCAGCTGTCAAACAGAAGTCCCTTTTCAAGGCTTTCCGAGCCTTTTGCCAAAGAAAGCCTTTATTTAAGCAGCTCCACACTGTTTCAAGGGATTTTCCCAAACACAGTATGATCACCGCTGGATTTCACATTTTCAAGTGTTGATTCTTTTGTGTTTCAAAGCTCTAAGGGTCTGTTCATTCTTTCAGCAACAGAGTCATAAATTATGAAGTTTGGTAATTCTATTTTATCACTACTGTGTGTACCAGAAGGAGGGGAGAGACACACTAGCAACATAGTTTTGCTTCATTTAGGTTGGTTTCAAATATAAATAAAGGGGATTTGGGAGTTTACAAAACCTAATAGGAACAAAAATTCTTGTGATTTTTTTTATTAATGTTAATCATAGATGTACAGGGCTGGAAGGAACTTGGAGAGGTCATCTAGTCCAGCCTTATGTGCTGAGGCTGGACCAAGTAAACCTAGATCATCCCTTAAGAACAGGTTGGGCAAATGTCTGTAACAGCTCCAACGATGGGGATTCCTCCCTACCCTACTCTAGTAATACCCCCTCCGTACTTCAGTACTCTCTGGTCCAGCAACATCTGTGGTCTGGTAGGATCAAGGATGTTCCTGGACCACAGAGCCCAGGAATAGGGATGTCTGGTGGAGGGGCAGGAGTGCAGTAGGGGAGTTGGCAACTCAGCCGGGAGTCCTATGTTGGGAGCGGGCAGACCTCCGGTCCCAGCAGCAGCCAGGTAGCTACGACACCGGCTGCAGAGCCCCAGCTGTGGTACTGAAGCAGCAGCAGGGCTGGACTCGAACCCTAGCCTGGGGGCGGTGGGGCAGCACAGGCCATGAAGGGAGGCACCTCCTCTGGTCCGGCAAATCCCCGCATACGGGACTGGTCAGATCCAGAGGGTGCCGGACCAGGGAGATCCAACACGTATGACCTAAATGCCTAACCTAAATCTCCCTTCCTGAAGATTAAGTCCTGTACGTCTCATCCTGTCTTCACTGGATATGGAGCACAACTGATCACTGTCTCCTTGGTAACAGTCCTTCACACACCTGAAGATCTACCAGGTCTCTCTTGGTCTTCTCTCAAGACTAACCAGGTCTACTTTTTCAAAGAAAATCTTTCTTCACAGAATAGGTTTTCAAAACCTTATATTGTTTCTATTGCTTCCCTCGCTCCAGTTTGTCCTCATCCTTCTTAAAGTGCAGCGCCCAGAACTGGACACAGAGCTCCTGCTGAGACATCACAACGACCTCCTCCAGCTTATAAATACACAGCACTGCCGGTCATACACCCCAGAATGAGATTAGCCTTTTCCACAACAGCATCGTATTTTTAATTTATGTTCAACTAGCAGATTTACCCAGCGTTGCTCAGGTCTGTAATTCAGAAATTCCATCGTGTGCGTTTTGTTTCTTCATCCCCATAAACTCTTACCGTTCACTAAGTTTTACCAAACTATAGTCACTTTGGTTCACAATAACATCTTCATCTAGCTCTAACACATCTAAATCAATGCTTATTGTTTGGAAAAAGAGAGCAAACAAATGCCAAATTCTGAAAACAAATTTCTGTTTTCTCTCTTTCCTATAAGGTTTATAGAGAAGCAATCCTAGTCCAGTTTCATCCTATTTTTCTGGCTCATTTTGGATCAGTCGCTTTCAACATTCACTCAGTTATGTCAATTTTGAGGATTGTTCGTGCTTCGGCGATTGTCTCGTTTCTGCTTGGTTTCATTAGAAACAGTTTCATTCCAGGGACATCCTATTTTCCTGACACAACCAATCCCTTACAGTGCTTCAAGTTATGACAAGAGGAAACTGTATACCAAATTTGGTAGTCCTAGCTTTTACCATTTAGGAGAAAGTTCTTGATCAAACTGACAAATTCTCTAAAATATTATAGTAGATCTGTGATTAACTGTAATCTACAGGTCCTTTCCAGCAGTCACATAGCCAGTTAATTCCCCATTTGTAGCTGTGCATTTGATGTTTGCCTTCTCTTAGTGTACTACTTTGCATTGGTCTTTGGAGAATTGGTCTAAAATTGAGTAATTTGTTGATGAAAAGATGCCTGAGATTTTTTTTATCCCAAGTCATTTCTTTGTGGCTTTGGAAACCCAAACACAGAAGCATGGTGCTAGTGCAAAAGAATGCATGTAGCTGACTAAGATGCTGATTCTGCAGAGAGCTCTCTGTAGCTGGACCCCATACACTACGTGCAGCCTCATGGAAGCCACTGGGGCTGTGCATGGGAACAGTATTCCGCCCGTCCTGGAGACGATTGTGTCTTGGAGCCCTACAAATCCTACAGACTGGACCTCTCTTGTCCGGCATCCTCAGGACCTGATGGGTCCCAGAAGAAGGAATCTGCCAGACAACAGGAGGTCCCGATACCAGCCCCTCAGCCTGCTGCTTCTCCCCTTCAGCCCAGCTGGGCTGTCGGCGGGCCAGCCCCAGCTCTGGCTCCACTGGCAGCTGGCTGGGCAGCTCCAGCCCCACTGCCAGAATGGCACATTGCCCGTTTGGGCTGCCACATCCCCAATCTTGCTGCTGGGCAGCCAGTACTGATTCTGCTGGGTTGCCATGGCTGGCTTCCCCTCCCCGGCTGCTGCAGCCGCACCCCCACCCCCAGCCTCGCTGCCAGGTGGCTGGCAGCCCCAATCATGCCGCCACTGCCCCGCCACATCCCAGGCTGATATGGCCTGGCAGGGCTTCCCCTCTCGGGCTGCTGTGGTCCTGGTCCCACTGCTGGGTGGCAGACAGTCCCAATTGTGTTCCGCCCAGGTTGTCGCAGCCCCGCTGCTAGCAGACTTGCAGGGTTGCACTGAGCTCCCAGCTGGTGGTCCTCCTGCCCTGGGTCTCTCTCATCCAGGAACATCTGTGGGCATGCCGGACCACGGATGTTGCTGGACAAGAGAATCCTGGATTTGAGAGGTGGAACCTGTGCTGACTAATCTAGTCACCTGCAAAATATGTGCATGCAGGGATCCACTTGCAAAGAGCTCACTGCATGTTCCTGTCTTGCAAACCACAACGTGAAGCCATCCAGTCCAGACACGTCAAAGTGCCACTCGCACCTTTAGAGCTAGAGAATCATCTTGGCTTCAAAGGTGAAGGCAAGTGAAGTGCAAAATGCAAACAAACAGCACAAATGAGGAAAAGAAAAATGGTCAGAATCCTTTCTATTATAAGAAATACCATCTTTGGAGTACAGGCAGTCCCCGGGTTACGTACAAGATAGGGACTGTAGGTTTTTTCTTAAGTTGAATTTGTATGTAAGTCGGAACTGGTACATATTGTAGGGGAAACTCGAGCCAAACCGGCTCCCCTCATGGACCAGCTCCCACCTGGCACCCACACTGCTGCCTCTAATACAGAGGCAGCAGCACAGAATTGCAGGGGGGGCTTCTAGAGGGAGGA